CCACGGTGCTGTCGCCCTCGCCCGTTCAAACCAAGACTTCGAGGGCCTGCAGCGCCGAGCACGGCGAGCCAAGCTTCACAAGACAACGCCCCCTGGCATCACCCTCTTCGAGCTGTACCGCATGGCCCTTCACCCCAACGGCGCTGCCTTCCCCCAAGCCGCCGGACTCGGCAGCAACGACCCAGACATTCACCTCCCCAATTTCCAAGCCCTCCTCCACAATCTAATATGTTCAATCAGGTTCTACACCGCCACCCCAGCCAGATGGCACCACAGCCGCGCGCACCCACTGCCAGAGCACAACGACAAGCCCGGGTGTAAGGGACTACAGCTCATTCATGTTCTGTACGGTCTGGGAAAGTCATTTTACGCCCATCTTTGATCTCGCGCTGGGCCGCATGCTTCCGCCCGTACGCATACGGCTACATCCGGCATCGGTGCAGAAAGGCTGCAATCATGCAGCGCCAGGTTCTCATCACCCGCCCCATGGCCGCGAAGAAATCTTGCGCCCTCTGCTTCCATGACGCCACCAACGCTCCTCCTAGCCCAGCACGCCACTCAGTTTCCACTGCCACGATGAAGAGCTTGTTTACACCCGTTGGGATTTGAGCCGTTTCAGTTTTCTGACCTGTTGGCATCTGAATGAATATGTTGGGATCTGAGCTGTTCCGTTGGGATCTGACCCCATCGACCACCAAGAGACCTCCGAGAGGCGGATGTGAACCAGGGTTTCGGTTCGACGGTGGTCCTCGTTACTCGTTCCACTGGATTCGCCTGCACTTCCCTGATCAGGGCAACTCGCCTGGGCATCGGTGCTGGATGGGCTGGTGGATATACGCGAAGCGACAAGTTTGAAAAACCCAAAGCCCAAAACACGGCAATGTCGCGCGAGGCACGCACGACCTGAAAAAATCCGCCGCAAAATCTACAGGAGCACGCGCCCCGAAAGAGGCACGAGACAACCCACGTCGAAGACAGCCAAAATTACAAGCACTACTGAATGCAAAAGCGGGTCTGTTTGCGCGAACGTGCGTCCGACTGCCGCAGGTCAATGTTGGTGGACGCGCAGACGTCGCGAGAAAATTGGTGAACGCGGGAGGAGAAATCACGAGCGCCAGCACACGTTGTTTGCAGTCACGGGGCGCAACTTAAGAAAACGCATGCGTTCCTGAAGGCACCGCTCCAGTTCCCGCATCTCCTCGCACGGTCCCTCCCCCAGCCTGCCCGTCCTCGAAAGGGACCCCCAGGACTGACCCCCCGGCTGTCTGACTACTTGCCAGACTACTCCAATCCAACCCGAAGACCCGGATGTCGGGTTGGGAGGGTACGGGCTTCGTATCTATTTTCCCCATATCCAAATGATGGGATTATCGTTATTCTCTGACCGCGCGGACCTTCCTCCCCTCCCTTCTCCCTCTCTGCACCAGACAATGATGATGATTGACATGATGATGACCATGGTAAGGTGAGAGTATGATGATTGATGGATGGGTATGATGATGAGGAGGAGGAGGAGGCAGAGGAGGAGGAGGAGGAGGTCTCGAGCGGCATGCTGGTTTTAGCACTCTTAAGGCGGGGCCGCCAGGGGTATTGCACGGCCTCCGTTCGCGCCAAAACGGCGGGGATATCTCGAGCGGTTTGCCTGTTTGCATGCCCAACATCCTCCGCTTTCGGAGCAGATTTGGAGGATGTCTCGAGCGAGGCTCTCAGTTTCGCCCCCCAGGGAAGCCAGATGTTGAGGATGTCTCGATCAGGTTGCCTGTTTGGGTGGCCAGACTCGTGGGCACAGATTCTCCCCAAGATGCCACAGGAGCAGCAGGCTCCAGGAGGCCCCAGGAGGCCACATGAGGTCCCAGGAGGCATCAGGAGGCCACAGGAAGACTCAAGAGGCCACAGAATGTCCCAAGAGGCTCCAGGAGGCCCCAGGAAGCTCCAGGAGGCCTCAGGGAGGCCCCAGGAGGCCACAGGAAGCGCCAGGAGGCCACAGAAATCAACAGGAGGCCCCGAGAGGCCCCAGGAGCAGGAGGCCTCAGAAGGCAACAGGAGTGGCTCCAATCACATGTGCTTTACTTCTGCTCCTATAGATTGGGCCTCACCTGGAGCACGAATCCTTGATGTTTATACGTATGCTTATATATATTGTCCTTCTCCTGTGTATACAATCCTGAATGGTTTACGCATGTTCCTACAGATTGGGTCTCCCCTGGGGCACGAGTCCTTGGTGTTTCACGTGTGTTCCTATAGATTGCCCTTCTCCTGTGGCTCCAATCCGCAATGTTTTATGTAAGTCTGTTCCAATAGATTGGGCCTCTCCTGGGGCACGAATCCTTCCTAGGAGGTCCCAGGAGGCTCCAGGAGGCCCCAGAAGGCCACGCGAGGCTCCAGGAGGCCTCAGGAGGCCACTCGAAGCCCTAAGAGGCCCTAAGGCCCCAAGAGACTCCTGGAGGCCCCAGGAAACCCCAGGAGGTTTCAGGAGGCCCCAGGCGGCCCCAGGCTCATGCGCAGAGACGTGGTCGTACTACTGAGGTTCATTCACACTCCAATTCATTCCCAGTTAGATTCATGACCAGACCCTCACAACTCAAGCCCGCTTATATTCGAAAACTCTTGTGCCTAGACACTCACGGTGGACAGGTCCATGCGAATAGATGCACAGATGGGGAGCTCCACGCAGTGAATAATTTCAATGTTCCCCGCCCCCCCCCCACAATGGGAATGGAGGACAAATTGCGGCCTTCGGGTTAGGTTGGGGTGGTTTGGTGGGTGGTGACTGTCCCACAACTCTGTCCCCCTCATGTGCGCCATCTCCCCCCGCCCCCGACCGCAGACTCCCTCTGTCCCTCTGGGCTGCCATCCCTCCGTCGCACCCCCCTGTGCCCCCTGTCTGTCCCCCCTTGTGGCCTCCCTCTGCTTGCCCCCCCCTTGGTCCACCCCCGACACCATTCCCCCACCGCCCACCCCCGTGTCTTCCCTCCGTTCCCTGCCTCCTGTTCCCTCCTTCTGCCTGGCTCTCCTTCCCCCCCTCCCCAGACATCCGGCCGCTCCAATTTTGTGGGGGCGCGTGCCCCGGGAGGTCTGGACTACTTCCCCAGGGCTGGTTGTTCGTCCTGAATCGTTTTTGGACGGCCCCGAGGCCCGGCGAGGGCCCCTGGAGGCCGAAAATAGCCCCAAACCCGCCGCACCATTTTTTGTACGGGGCGTCGGATCTCTGGATAATCCTCCTCGTGCGCCTCTCTTCGTTTCTGGCTGCGCGCGGCGAGGGCGCGAAAACGGGTAGGCCTCCGCGAGGCTCTAGCCGCACGCGGCGCCCGGCACCGCGCCGCTGCGCTCGCGGGCCTGCGCCGCCGCCGGGGCCGCCGCCGGCACCGCAGGTGGGCCGCTGGAGGCTGGGGAGACTCCCGCTGCACCCACCGATCCGATCATGGTCGACTCCCTCCTCCTCCTCCTCCTCCTCCTCCTCCTCCTCCTCCTCCTCCTCCTCCTCCTCCTCCGCCTCCTCCGCCTCATCAACCTCCTCCATTCCTTCTCCTTATAAAGAACTTCTCCCTGTCGCACCCCGAAGCCAGTTTTTAGGGCGGGCCGGGCGTTCCGCCTGAGACTTCCTCACCACTTATGACACTGAAGCTGAAAATTTGGCAACAGCTTCACAGATGGACGGCGGGTCGTTTTCAAAATGTGGCTCTCGCCTTGGCGCGGCGCACATTCGTTCTCAAAAAATGCTAGAGCTTCACGGATTGAGGGCGGGTGGTTTTCAAAATGTGGCTCTCGCCTTAGCGTGGCGCACATTCGCTTGAAACATGCGCAAGAGCTTCACGGATTGAGGGCGGGTGATTTTCAAAATGTGGCTCTCGCCTTAGCGCAGCGAACATTCTTTTTAAAAATGTGCAAGAGTTTCATAAATTGATGGCGGTTCCTTTTCAAAATGTGGCTCTCGCCTTAGCGCGGCGCACACTATTTTTCTAAATCTGCGAGAGTTCAACGAATTCCCATCATCAACGTGTCAAAAATGGTGTTTGAAAGCATTCAGGATCACGCGGGTGCAAGAATTAAATTCCAGATGTCGTAATAAAGGGAGGGGGGTCTCATTTCGGGGGGGGTCTCTTCCAGGCTATCTTGGAGGGCCTGGGGGGGTCTGGGGACGATGTTTGGGAGGGTTCTCCCACGGGGAAGGTCTGAAATGGCTTGTCTTGGAGGGTCCAGACACCCTCCCTTGTATTACGAAATCTTGAATATTTATTCGCCGTGTTGAAGTCCCAGGAACGGTGTTCTGGCACGATTCAGGACTGTCGAGACGCAACAGTCAGGTTGATCCGTGGCGCTGGAATCCCGAGAACAATGTTTTGGCATGCTTCAGGGTCTTGAAACGGTTATCGTCCAAAGAGGCAGTTCCTCCAATGGAAATGAACCGTTGTAGGGACCTATAAAGAGGGAGCTTGGAGGGAGGGTTTATTCCATCATCGTTGATGACTCTTGGTTTTACACTGGTCCTCCTCCTCCGCCTCCTCCTCCTCCTCCTGCTCACCCTCCCTGCAGAGGAGGGGCGCGGGATATGCGGGGAGCGCTGCGCTCTGCTGCTGGGGGGAGGGGCCCCCGCGCCCCACGCCTCGGGGAGCGTCTGGCTCGCCCGGCCGGTGACAGACTGCTCCAGTGCCATGGGAAGAGCGGCCCGTGGAAGAGCTGTCCCGTCCAACCCGCCGGCCAACGCGAACGAAACCCCCAGCCCCCGGCCAACCCTGGCCACCCCTCCTGGCCAACCCCTCCGGCCAGCCCTGGTCCGGCTCAGCTGCCTCGAGGAGGTGTCGTGCGGCAGGTTCGTGTCGTGCTGACTTCGCCGTTGGCTCCTGGCACCACGGGGAGCCTTCCACCCTGAACGATCGGCCGTTTCCGAAACGCCCGATCGTTCGGCAACGAGCCGCTTCTGGGTCGCCTTGCGGCGCTCCACGGTGAACGACTGCGGCGGGGTCGCCGCCGGTCGACCCGACGCGAGCCTGCCGCAGATCTTAAGGGCATCGGACTGGTGGGCGGAGGCGGGCGTCCCGGAGGAGGGACCGCCAGGGTCCTGGTCGGGCGCCCGCGGCGCCGCGGGCGGGTCCACGCCCAGGGGCGCCACCGCGTCTGCGGCTGGCTCCTCCTGAGGAGGGCGCCAGCGTTGCACCCAGCTGCGCCGATCCTGGCCAGGCCCATCTGAGGGGCAACGACAGGGGCAGGGGGACTGGCACAGGAAGGGGGGGGTTGAGCGTCGGCCTGGAATCGGCGACACATCACCGACAGGCCCCCGATGGCGAATCCGCACGTTTCCAGGGCGGGGTGGGGCTATCAGGCCCCTTGTCGGCGATCAGTGGGCGATTGGGGGTCGATGCAGCCCCCCCTATACCTCTTCCCCCTTATCGCTGTCCCTGGCCATCCTGGGCCCAGGGTGGCGTGTCCGCGCCCCCCTGGCGTAGCCAGGATGGCGCAATGCGGCAGCTTCGTGTCGAGCCGACTGTAGGCGTTGGTTCCTGACACCGCGGGGGGATCCTTCGTACCCTGAACGATCGGCCGTCTCCGAAGCGTCAGATCGTCCAGCATCGGCCGATTCTGGGCCGCCAGCAGCGATCAGCATTGAACGCCGGCGGCGGGGTCGCCGCCGGTCGAGGCGGCACGAACCTGCTGCACACGGGTCCTGGGCGCTGGTTTTTGAATTCAAAAAATTGGTTTTTGAATTAAAAACGGGTTTTGAACTCAGGAAAGTAGTGTATGAATTCAATACATTAACTTTTGAATTCGATTGACTGGTTTTTCGAGTTCCAAAAATTGGTTTACTCAAAAGACCGGTGTGGGCGTCAAGCTGGCGCCCCCTGGCCTCCCGCACCCACTGCGACGGGCGGGTCTTGTCGACCCTGTACGTCCACCGCTGATAGAGGTAGATGAAGAAGATTACGTCGTCTCGGAAGCAGCTTACCCTGTGCATCATCGGCATGTCGATGAGGAACGCGGATATGTCGTCGACGAACGTGTTCATCGCCTTGTACGTCATGGCCCGCCACGGCAGGCGCTCCACGGACTTCAGCCTGTAGTTGATGTAGAGCTGAGGGGTCATCATGATGAAGCCAAAGGTGTACACGCCGCCAGCTGCCGACCCCACGAGGAAAGAATACCAGCTGCGGTGCCTACCATGTATTGCCGATCGGACGACGTATCCCAAGAAAGCCGGGGCCATCATGGCCAACATGTAATAGGTTGCCTCGTCATCATACTTGCTGGTCCCGGAGTTCTCGTACCCAGGCTGATTCCCAAAAGAAATGAAAGGGAACGAAAGTTTCAGTTCGAGCTTCACTGCCTTCCGCAGTCTCCAAACACCCAGCACCAAGTCTAGAATTACTGGGAATATTACTAAGCGTGACGCCTCCTTTGAATCTAAAAGGTATAGAGTCATGACCAGCCGACATACAAAGGAGACTATCTCGGTACGTGCCGAAAGGCCCTCCATCGATTCGTTTTTCCTCCAGAACTGTATGTCGTTCTTGAACGCGAGTGTCTGGAAAACAATGTGAAGCAATATGAAACAGGCGCTAAATGCAAGAAAATATGGATTAGTTTCTATGATCAGCCTCTTGACCATAAAAGAATCTCTCTGCGTGTCTGTTAGACCCCACTCAGATTTCACCGCCCACTGCTCCGTCATCTGCGTCTGAGATGCGTAAGCCAACATGCTCGCTGCACTGTAGGTCAAGGTCAGGTTGAAAGCTGTGCCCTTCAGCGTCGAGTCCAGCAGTAGGTAGTCCTTTTCCAGCAGCCAGAAATCCGAGAGATACAGATAAGGTTGATAGACGCCGAGCTTCGGGAAGGCTTGAAATCTCTTTGTGGGCCCGCTCTTCAGGGATGCCCTCGTGTACACAGTCTGGTCGAATACTGGGCGGACCTCGATCTTGGTCTTGAAATAGGGTAGCCTGGTCGCGGACAGGTTTGTAGGACGCCCTGTGGGCTCCCCGTCGGCGGTAAGCAGGTTCACCGCCTGATCGTCTGCGCGTAGCTCGCGGAGCTTCTCAACCAGCGCCAGGGACTGCTGGATCACCTGATAATCAGGTATGTCCTCCAGGTAGGCAAGATCAGACAAATCGAGAACCAATCGATCGGACCCAACCGGTCAGCACCGATGTCGAATCGGACCGATCGGAGTGGAGTGGACCCTGGGTAGGGAGACGAGGAGGAGACGGAATAGGACGCACAAAGACGTACTAATACTATATGGTCTCCTCGGAGGCGCTTGTCCAACCCGAACAGATAGTAGAATCATCTTGTAGTCTATCGTTTCCCGAGCGGTACGGCCAGAAAGCGCCCGACACGACGAAGGTACTGTAAGAGTTCTCGGTGCGGGCGTCGCCCCCGGGGGGCGACGCACACATAGTATCAGTATGTTGGGGTGCCGGCGAAGGAAGCCGATCACCACCCAGGAGGATAAGCTGGTGCTCGAGTGCGTCCTCGGGGCGCTCCAGCAACGCAGTGCGCAGCAGCGTGGCGTGCACGAAGGGGGCCGCCGCGCCGTGGAGCACCTCCTCGGGGAGCGTCCCGAGGGACACGTTCCTGGAGGTCGGCGTGGGCTTCTCCTGCGGGCCTCCTCCTCCTCCTCCTCCTCCTCCTCCTCCTCCTCCTCCTCCTCCTCATCATACTCCTCCGACGGTACATAAGCGACGAAACGAAGACGTAGCGACCGCGGCTTACACGGGCCGCCAGCGTGGCACAACGCGTGGAGAAGACTAGGAGGCAACTACTGAGAGGTTCTCGTCGGAGGGATTAAGGAGGATTAAGCCCCATTTGGGAGGCGGCTACGCCAGAGTGGGCCTCGGATTCAGCGGGATTAGGCGGGATTAGGCCAGACCCGGCGGGATTAAGCTGGATTGAACCGGCCTTCGGACCAGGGCAAAGTCAGACTTTGACCTCCCGGGAGTTGCATCCGAGAGCAGAGGGCGCAGGCGCGCGACCGCACGCTTTGGAAGCTCACGCGTGCACGCCCGCGCGGTCGACCCCGCGCTCTTCCGCCGCTCTCGTGGCGACTGGACCGTGAGGATGCGCTGCAAGGATTAGGTCGGGCGTGTCCTCCTACAGGCTGGTTATGGACGAAAATAAATAAGAATCAAAAACTGATCAACAAATGTTCAAAAACACTGCAAAAATCGTCCCCAGACTATTTTTTTACTATTTTTGAATATTCCTCCTGTAGAGGGACATGCCCAACTTAAGGCAAGGATGCAAGCGCCCTGGGGCGCCCACGACGGAGGCTCGGCCGAGGCCAGAAGCCCCTGGCCCGCGGCCCATGCCCACGGGCTAGCAGGGGCCGAGAGGCACAACTCCAAAGGGGGGCACCCTTGGATTTCGTTGTTCCCATCGGACTCAAGAACCACATCCCAGAAATAATTTCGAGCACCCAGACAAAGATCGAAACAGTGTCGAAGGAGTATCGCCTCCCAGGGCCCGACACGTGAAAACCCTCAAATTTCGGTATGTACCTGGTGCTCGAAATTAATTTTGGTGATCAAAACGAAATTAGGTCGGAACATCAGAAACCTTGGTAAGCTTCGGCGGCCAGTAAGGGGGGGAAGTGAAGAGGGGAAGGCCTTCTCAGAGGGCGGCGGGACTTCTCCGAAGCCCTCGCGCCTTCTGAGAGAGGTTGTGCTGCGTCTTCGTGGAACGGCTTGGAGAACTTCTCCGAAGGTCTGGGGACTTCCGAGCCTTCTGAGAAGGTCCACCTCTTCGCACTCCCCCCCTCGCTCGCCGCCGAAAGCGACTCTCCCCCACGATCCGGTTGGTCTGCGTCCTCCACCGTCATGACATCTCCACAAGCCCTCTCTGGGCCAAAGCGTGCTCATGAATGCGGCGCCGCCTGGTCTGGCCACGAGCCAACTGTCCCCTGCGACGTGGGCCCCGGGAGGGGGCATGCCACTCCTGTCGTCTCGGGACCTCTGTGCGAGCGGCCGGAGCCGGTTCGCAAAGGATGCGCTTCGCCACAGAAACGGCTGCCAGGAGACGTGAAGCGATCCCAGACCTCTGGCCGCTCCAATTCTTTGTTGGTGCGCGCGCCCCCGAGGTCTGGACCGCTTCCCCAGGGCCGGTGCTTCGTCCCGAGTCGTTGCCGGACGGTCCCGAGGCCCGGCGAGGGCACCCGGAGGCCGAAAAAATAGGCCCAGACCCGCCGCTCCTATTTTTGTTGGGTTCGGGGCGTTGGGTCTCTGGGATGCCACGGCAAACGGCCGCGCCATGTGCGAGTGGCCGGAGCTGGCTCACAAAGGGATGCGCCTCGCCACGGAGGCGGCGGCCGAGGGACGCGCGAGGGGCGAGGCCAACGGCGGACGGCCCCGCCGCGGCAGGAGAGGCGAGGCGCTGGGGCGACCCCCTCTTCTCGGAGGCGGAGGGGAGCAACAAGAGGAGGAGGAGGAGGAGGAGGAGGAGGAGGAGGAGGAGGAGGAGGAGGAGGAGGAGGAGGAGGAGGAGGAGGAGGAGGAGGAGGAGGAGGAGGAGGGGGAGGAGGAGGAGAGGGAGGAGGAGGAGGAGGAGGGGGAGGAGGAGGAGGAGGAGGAGGAGGAGGAGGAGGAGGAGGAGGAGGGGGGCCCAGAGACACACAAACGAACGAGCACAGATCCCAGGATCCCCTATGTTTCCTATATCGGGCTTCGTCTTCCCCCCACTTCCCACATTTTCCCATCCGTGTCTCCCTGGGGATCGACGACTGCTTGTGTCTGTGTGCCTTTTCCCCTCGTGAAACAATCTGGGAGACGGATTCACTCCTGGTGTGGCGGCATTCTTGCCACTGTGGCCGTCACCACGCGAACCAATCCGTATTGAAAGATGTCCGCCGTCCTTGGCGCCAAGAGTCCGGGGAACGTAGAAGATGGGGAAGGGACAGAAGGGGGGTTCGAGGCGCATGGCTCGAGACGGCCCCGGGAAGAAGAAACCGAGAGCATCCGGCTGGGATCCTTCCCCCATCCCACCTCGGGACCGCCCCCCCCCCACCCCAGGACCCCCCCCCCGACGTAAGCCCGTCAGGAGCCCTCAGCCTGGAGCGCCCGCGCCTCACGCGTGGACACCGCGCCGAGACGGAACGAGACTGCTGGAAGGACCAGAGCCCGCACGACCCGCGAACTTCTCGGCTCGACGCCGGAGCCCCCTCCCTGGCGCGCGCGGAGGGGCTCGGCGTCGACCCCCGAAGGTAAAGGGGCGACTTCGGAAACCCTGAACCCAAAAACGTTTTCGCCTCTCGGGGGCGCATCTTTCACTTCTGCCGCCTTCCGTCGCCCTTCCGCCGGCTGCCGCCGGCTTCCGCGCCTCGTTTTACTTCCGCCGCCCTCTGCGGCGGAAGAGATGACAGCTCCTTCGATCCTCGAAGGCAAGGCCCTTTCTGGACCGCCCCACAAGTTTATGCAGCTTGCCCTTTTCGCATACCGCACCACTGCACTGGAGGTCAACAGAGGTCCCCGGAGGCCTCCTCTAGGCCCGAAAAGAACTCCCCTCCTGGGCCCTCGAGGGTCGAGGGCAAACAAAAGGGGCCCAAGGAGGCACCAATAGGCCGACCCTGTCGGCGTGTGGAAGAGGCTGATCCGTTTGACTCCTCGTCGTCGTCGTCGTGCTCGTTGTCGTCGTCGCCGCCTTCGCCACCCCCCTCTTGCCCTAAGCCCGTCGCCGCCCTCTCCCACTTTCACTGGGCCGAGCGCGCCAGTCACAGCAAAATTGAGCAACGTTGTAGTTGAGTCGAAGGGAAGCACCTTCCCTTTGATCCGTTCCCCGCCCGGGGGGGGGTCCCGGAAGGGGGTTCCCGGGGGGGGGCCAGGGGGGGTCCTGGGGGAGTCCCCTGGGGAGTCCCCGGGGGATCCCTGGGGGGGTCACGGAGCAGATACGACTCCCCCCTGGGCGGTTCGGGGGCCCAGAAAAGCTCCACGACGCAGCAAAAGTGCACCCAAGATGTTTCCAAGACGGTCTTCGAGGGCCCCTAATCGCCGAAGCATCGGTCCAAGTCGCCAAAGTTACCTGCAGACGGCTCACAAGGATTCCAAAACGCCCCAAGAGGCCTCCAAGAGGACTTCCAAGACGGCCCCAAGGGGCAAAAACGTCGATTTCCCGTAGGCTTGTTTTAAAGATTCTTAAGCTTACGCCACACCGTCGACCCCTTTGTCTTTTTGGGGGCTTCCTGGGGGTCCCTGGGGCACGTTGGGGGCGTCTTGGAGCCGGAGGTTAGAAGTGTCCGTTCCAGTTCTCCGTCCGGCTGACTGGGAGTATTTCTGTCCGTCTATGGGGCCGTCTTAGGGCGGTCTTGGAGACATCTAGGAGGGTCTTCCGCGCTGTGAAGGCCGAACCATCGTATATCGAAGCCGACTTGGGGGCCTCTTGGGGCCCCTTGGGGCCTCTTGGAGGCCTCTGGGAAGCCTCTTGGGGTCTCTTGGGGGCCTTTTGGGGGCGTCTGGACGCCTTTTTGGAGCCTCTTGTGGCCTCCTGGGAGCCTCTAGGGGCGGACGGCTGGAATGTTCGTTTCGTGGTCCCCCTTTCGGGCCCCTCGTGGGGCCGTCTTGGAGCCCTTTTGGGTCGTTTTGGGCGCCTCTTGCGCCGTGTTGGGGGCTTCTTGGGAGCCTATGGGGCCGTCTTAGGGCGGTCTTGGAGGCATCTTGGAAGGGCTGAAGGCGGAAAAATCGCATGTGCTAGAAATGCACGCTTTCCTGAGGGAATGTGAAGATTCTGGCCTCTGGGAGGCCTACTGGGAGGCCTCTTGGAAGGTCTTGGCGGCCTCCTGAGCCATCTTCGGCCCATGTTGGGCGTCTTGGAACGATCTTTCGGCCCATGTTAGGCGTCTTGGAACGATCTTTCGGCGTCTCGGAGCCCTCTTGGACCGTCTTGGGGGCCTCTTGGGGGGCCCCAGACTTTGTCGTGGACCTCGAAAAGGAGCCCGGGAAGGGCTGGACCCCCCTGGTGAGCTCCAGCCGGACGGCCCCCCCCCCTCCAAATCGACCGGACCGGGCTCCAGAGGGAGGGGTTTAGGGAAGGGGAAGCATCTTACACGCCGATGATCCCCAAGGGGTCGGCAGACTTCAACATTCTTGCCTTGTCAGCTTCCCGACGCTCCAAGACAGGCCAAGAGGCCTCCAAGACCGCCCCAAGATGGCTCAAGGGCCCCAAGACCGCCCAAGAGGCCTCCAAGACAGCCTAGGAGGCCCCCAAGACGGCTCCAAGAGGGAGCCCAGACGGGGAACCCGAACGGACATTTCGATCCCTCGGCCTGAGAAGCTCTCAGGAAGCCCCCAGAGGCCCCTAAGAAGCCCCCCAAGAGGCCCCAAGAGGCCCCCAAGAGACCCCCATGAAGCCCCAAGAGGCCCCCACGAGGATCCCAAGCGGCTCCCAAGAGCTTCCCAAGAGGCTCCCAAACTACCCCTAAGAGGCCTCCGAGAGCGCTCGCCGTCGTCGTCGT